TGTGGGTACAGCCCGCCCAGGCCCAAACCACCATCCTGGAAACAGCTGTGCTGCTCTGTCCAGGGCACAGAGGTGGGGGGAGGGGATCCCCAGAGAGAGGCCCTGGATGGGGAAAGGAAAGGAGGTGATTAGGGAGGCTGGCAGAGGTCCAGGCTTGGGCTAGGGGGAGCAGTCTGCTGCAACACCAAGGGGGAAATGCATCAGCCTTTCCTCTTTTCACTGAGCTCCCCCTCCTCTTCTCCTCACACCCCCAAGGCCAGGCTGGGGGCCTCTGAGGAGGGGGCTGCCCGCAGCTGGAAGCTCAGGTGGAGCTCAGCCAGGTGTTTTTCCCTTCTGGGTCTGGGGACGGAGAGGGAGAGGGAGAAGCACCGTCAAAACAAGAAGGGAGCTGGTGTGCAGACTGGACAGGCCTTCGGGAGACCTGGGTTCAAGGCTCACCTGCCCCAGACCCTGGGCACGTGGCTGCCCCTCTCCGGGCCTCAGTGTTTCCATGTTGAAATGGGCGCTGGCAGCAGGCTGCTGCTGGTCCGAGGTTTGGTGTCACGGGTCCTGAGAGGCTGAGGGGGGGAGGTGCAGGGGCTTTAGGGTAGCTTTTGGCAGTAGAGGCTCCCTTCAGACACTCATCTCTGGGCCCAGGCAGCTTTTTGTGCCCTTCTTCCCTCTCAGATGAGCAGAGTCCTCCTTTGCCATTAATCCTTCACTCCCTAACCACCTCCACCCTGTGCTGGGCAGACCCAGGCCCTGCCCTGGAAGAGGTCCGTCCCCAGTCTAGCAGGGGAGCCGGGCTGGAAACCCGGCCACGTTAGCACAGGGAGCTGTGGCCAGGCTAACGGGCTAATGCGAAGGGGAGTTTGGAATGCTATGAGGCTCCAGAAGAGGTGACCAAACCCAGCCTAGAGCTTTGGAAGGCTTCCTGGAGGAGTGGGTCTAACTTGAAGACAGGTTAGCAAAGAAAGAGCTGGACAAGCAGCAGAGGCCAGGGCTCTCAGCCAAGGAGAGCATACTCCAAATCACAGAGGTAATGCCCCAGCAAGGACCTCGGGCTGGCGCTGGGGGCTAGAGTGGCAGGCGGTTGGAGAGGGCCGGTCAGGAGGCAGGCAGAAGCCTGACTGGGAAATTGGATCTTGAGGGTACTGGGGAGCCATGGGAGGCTCCCAGCCGGGGAGGGGAGGGATTACAGGGTCAGATGTAGGCATTAGAAAGACCTCTCTGGAGGTAGGAAGGTAATGTTTCCCACTGCTTCCAGCACTGGGCCAGACAGAGCCAGTGGCTGGGCTCTGGCATAGGCAGAATGGGGGACGCTACCCTGACTCAAGGTTCAGTACCCTATTCCTCAGGCCTCTCTTGGGCAGCCCATCCCTACACAACCACACATCACCCCAAAATGCCATGGTCTGTTTCATACCTGTCTCTTTCACTGCACTGGGAGACAGTACTAGAAGGAAGGATGGGAAGGATGGTTAATCCACCCTGGCTGTTAATTAATCAGAGTGCTCCCCATTCCCCTGCACTAAGGTCCCCAAATTATTGTGTGTGGGCTTCTTCTTTCTAGTCAGTAGGCTGGCAGGCACCGTCCTCCAGAGGAGCCCAGTGAAAGCCCATCTCCCTTTCTTGGTCTCAATGGGATCCCCCATTGAGAGACTCTGATTTCCTCTGGAGACAGAGCGGGGCTCCTCCAGAGTCTGGGGGCTTCTCACTCCCTGCCTGCCTGGCCCTCCCCACAGAAGGAAGCTCTGGTTTGCCCGCACATCTTTGGGAGGTGGCTGACTTCACCCTGATGAGATCCCATGGCCCTGACCCTCGTGCCAGGCCCCGTCCAACCTAGGCTCTCTAAGCTACTGTGAATCCAGGCTAACAGCCCCTGGTTCAGCCCAGCCCTCAGGCTTTGTGTGCTTGAGTGGTAGAGAGTTCCTGACCACCAACTCTACCAGAGCCTTCTCTCCAAATAGTTTGGGGTCACACAGTTCTTTGCGGGGAGTCCCAGCTCCTCCAATTCTTGGCTCTGTGGGCGGGCCACTTCTCCCCACCCGCCCCTTCCTCTAGAGCTACCACCGGTTAAGGTCTTACTATAAAGCAAGCTGTGAACTCACTGGATCTGCATGAGACCTGTGGTATGTTCTCATTATGCCCATTTGTCTGATGAGCAAACTCAGAGGTTAAGGGGCTGCCTTAAGGTCAACACAGCTCAGTAAGTCAAACCTCAGTTTGCCTGTTTCTCAAACCCTGGCCTCATATGGTTGTTGTAAGAATTAAGTGAGATGTCTATTAAGTGATTGGCCCAGGGCCATGCTCCAAGGAGGAGCTCCTGGCCTGGCCCCCCCCCCCCCCCCCCCCCACCCCCCCACCCCCACTGAGCTATTCCTCTGCTGAGTGGGAGTAGGGAAGGGAGGAGGAAGCAGAAAGGGCAAAGTGTTGCGACAGACAGCTGTCCGAGGGCCTCCCTGGAGGATGCAATGTGTATAGCTGGGTCTGGAAGGATGGGAGAGAGCCTTGCTGTGTGTCTCAAGGAAAGGTGCCACGCTTCTCTGGTTCACTGCCTATACTGTGGCTGCCAGCGCCACATCTCCCTCCTCTGGGCCAAGAAGAAGCTCCTGGGAGGCAGGAAAGAGATTTGTAAATAGCAAGTGTGGCCTCATGAGAGGGAACGACATTATTAATAACTGTAGGTCCAGCTGAGGTTGGGGGAGCTGACCTTTTACCTCACCTTCCCAGAGAGCCAGGGGGGTAATCAGTGTCTGGGGTGGGGTAGAGGAGCGCAGAGTCGGTGTGGCAGGGTGGGGGGAGTGTGAAACCTCCCTTCCAGGCTTTTCTATGCTACTTTTCTTTGTTAACCCCACCCAGGAAGCCCACAGAAGGACAGACTGCTCCCTTCTCTGCTTTTGTTAACACTGTCCCATCCAGCCATGATACCATTTCTCCTCTTCAAGAGCACCTCCTAATAAACCCTCGGGGGCTCCCAAGGCAGTCACCTCAGATCCATCAGCCTCCTTCATCTGACAGACCAGACGCCTGAGAGCCACTTTTCTTCGGCTCTGCACATACATGACCCTCGGGGTAGAGAAGAAAAGGACAAGGTCAGGGCCTTCGGGGGCTCACAGCTGACACCCTACAGAGCTTTTTATCATTTACAAGCAATTTCCCACACGGTTTTGTGCAACATTCACCTCAGTCTGTGAGGCAGGTCTCACGGTTCCCATTCTGCAGAGGAGGAAATTGAAGCTCAGAAAGTTACAAAGGGCTCCCAAGTTCCCCTTTCTTTTGTAGTGCAAGGTATGTCGAAAAGGAATGGGCATGATTAAGGTGGCTGCCGTCTTTGTGAAGTGTCCCTCAATTAAGGCAAGACTCAGAGTGGGGCCGCAGAATCTTAACTGGCCCCTAGGGTCTCCCCAGGCTTATCCTGGCCTGGGGGGGTCCCACTCAGGCTCAGAGAGATTGGAGAGAACACCAGGTGATCTGAGCACACAACCTGAGAGTCCTAGGCCCCAAGAATTGAGAATACTGACCTCCTCCCACCACCCCTGCCCCCCAACAGGGCAAAGGTGGGAGAATGGGTGTTGTGCTAAAGAACGGTGAGCGGGAGGGAGGGCAGAGTGGTGAGGAGCAAGAGTAGGGACGAATAGCCTGTGAACTGAGGCTTGGCCATGACCCCCAGTTGTCACCCACAGGTGTACTTTCCTGATGTGAAGGTGTGGGAGCTAGGAGATCTGAGTTTTTATTCCAGCCTGCTGTGTAACCCTGGGAAAGCCCCAAACCTCTCTGAGTCTCTGCTCCTCAGATGTCTCCAGACTCTCAGGACCCTCCAGCTCTCAACTGATACTCGCTCCCCTCCCCCTAAGTGACCTCCACTTCCTCTTCCTTTTCTTACCTGCAGTGTCCAGCCCCTCCTCCTCACCTCCAGCTGCTTCCTGACTCTGGGAACCTATGGCCTCAGGCCTCCTCTGCCCTCTGACTCAGGCAGCCCTGACCTTTGGGATCTGAGCCGGTGGCCTGGGTGGTTTTGCCCCATGAACTTGCTCTGACCTTTGGCATGGCCACCTGCCTCCCCCCTCCTCCACTGCACACACCTGTCCCTAGTCCCTGGGCAGCCCAGGAACTGTGAGGGACCAGGTTTCTTCGGAGAAGATAGCAGCCTCCCATCCAAGTACTAACCAGGCCGGACCCTTGAGAAGATAGCAACATCGAGGGGCTTCACATCCAAAATTAGATGGCCCAGGGAGTCAGGGCAAATGGAGACAGCCCATCCACCCCTCCAGCCCCTTTCTCTGCAACATACCATTCCTGGCTGGGAACGCTCCCTCCCATCCCACCTCCCAAGCTTCACATGTTCAGGCCTATCTTAGTGAGGGAGGTTTGCCAAAGAGGTTGATGAGGTACCCACTGAGGCCACTTAGCAACCGCAAGCACCCTCATTCCTGGCCCACTACAGTGATGGAGAAATCACCCCTTCCTCACCTACACGTAGTGCCCTAACAGGGATTGAGATACATTTGTCTGGAATCTCCCCTCAGTGGCTGCACTGAGATGTGGTGACAGACTCAGGAGCCCTTCTTCAGCTCCCTAATGCAACTAGTACTGGCCAAGGGAGCCAGAACACCTACTGTGTGCCAGACATCTTAATACAACCTTTTCTAATCCTTTACACCACCACCACTAGGATAGAATTCCACTTTTACTAAAATAAGGAAACTGAAGCCCAACAAGGTCAAGAGGCATGCACGAGGCCACGTAGCTAGAAAGTGGCAACGAATGAATGATCTAACGGAGTGACTGAATGAAGGCGTGTGCTGGGCGCGCTGAGCAGCGGCTCGGGGAATGCGATGGGTACAGACAGTGCACAGCACGCGCGGCCGGGTCCTCGTACAGCTGGCCGCCGCAGGCCCTCCGCACCCCCGCGCCCAGGGGATCGCGGGCTCCCAGAGGCGCGGCCCGGCTCAGCCTCCACCGCGCGGGCCGCCCCGCCCCCGCCCCGCCCCCAGCCCGCCCAGCCAGGGACCGCAGACGGCGCCCAGCGGCGGCGCGAACGGCCGCGAGGAGGGTGTCTCCGCGCTCGGTGCTCACCGCGACTTCCCGTGCAGGGCCCGGCCGGACAAGGACCTGCGGCCTCCACGGGGCTGGAGGATGCGGCCGCGGCCCCCGGCAGCAGCAGCGGGAAGCCCGGCGCCTTGCAGGTAGGAGCTCGTCGGCTCGGCGCGGAAAGTTGGGCCGAGTTTGCGGGCGGCGCGCGAAGGGGCGGGTGGCGCTGCCCCAGGGCGCCCCTACCGGTCGGCCGGGGCATGGAGCGCGCCGGGCCTGGGCCGAGGTGCTGCCGCTCCTGGCTGCGGCGGGCCCCGGGCGGGCGGGCTGCGGGGCAGGGGGCGCGCGGCTGCTCCGACTTTCCCCGGACTTCGAGACCCCCGGGGCCTGGGAGCGCCCCGCAGCGCCGGCGAGGCTCTGGCGCCGGATCCGGAGAGGGGCTGGCGAGGAGCAGCTCCCGCTGAGCCCTCGGGCCTCCTAGGGGGCCCCGCTCACATGGACTGCCGGGGCGGAGATGTGGGGGCGGCGGGGGTCTGGGCCTGGGGTGGGGGGCCGCGGGAGCTGAGGCGCCGCGGGGCCCTGGACGCGCCCTACTGGGACGGGACGGCCCTGCGGTTTCCTCGCTACGGCTTGACTCACCCTCTGGCCGCAGCCCAGGCTGGCGGGATCGCCCCGAGGCGGTGGCTGCCCGGACACTGCGGCCAGGCCGCCCCCTGCTCCTGTCCTCCCTCCAGTCTTTGGGTGTCGGCCCTCGGGGCTGGGTGCGCGGGCCTTCCTGTGTGCACACGTGTGCGGGGCCCAAGCGAGGGGGGAACGCAGTTCTGGAGGGGCGTGTGTGCAGATGTGGGCCATGCACGTACTTGCAGGCACGGGTTTGCATGCGTGGCTGCGGCCTATGTATCAGCCTGCTGGGGTGCACGTGCGCCCCAGCGCCAACGGACAGAGCATGGGGACACCCGGAAGCCCGCGGGGTCAGGCGCGGCGGCAGCCCCAAAGCCAGGTTGGCGGAGGGCCCCAGGCACCACGGTTATGGGCGGGGCAGGTAGAGGAAAGGTGGTGGAGGCCGATCCTGCGACCCTTCCCCCTCCAATGGAGCCTAGGCTGCGCCAGGTTCTGTAGGGCCCAGAGCTGCAGCTGGGGGAGGTGTGAGGACGCCGGAGGGGTCCTGATTCAGCCCTCTAGGGGAGGCCAGATGCCAGGCCCTAGCCCGGCAGTATCGCTCTCTTCTTCCTGGTCTTTCCCAACTCCCAACGTCCCTGGCCTTCCGGAGAGCCGCTAAGAGATGGAAGAGCTGTTTGTTTCCCCTGATGCTTAGGGCAGGGATGGCACAGTGGCGGTGGGCTCTTTTTCTGGACCCTGCCCTGGGCCCTGGCCGAGGTTGGTCCTCCCAGTCCAGCTCCAACCTCAGCCAGCAAAACAGCTTGGTGGCCCAAAGGGTGATGTGACCTGGCTCCCTGGGGTCCTGTCCTTCTCCAAGCAATTGCTTGCCTCCTCCGTGGTGTGTGTGTGTGTGTGTGTGTGTGTGTGTGTGTGTGTGTGTGTGTGAGTGAAGGAGGCACCTACATTTTGGCTACTGGCTTGAGTGGAGAGGGGCCTCCGTCAAGGGAGTGTACACTGGGTTTCTACTGGCTGGAGGTAAGGGCAGCCCTGTACCTTTCATAGTCCTGTGCTGACTCCCTAGAGCCCCATCTCTCCCTCAAAGACCCCTGAGGGTCCCGGTGGCTTCACTTCTGTTGGCTAGGTCCCAGGGTGGAGGGGGAGGCTGTCTCAGGAAGTCTCCAGGGCACAGGGCTCGCAATGGGCAGAGCCCAGGAGAGAAAGACTCCTGGGGTTGGGGTGGGTGTGGAGCAGGCTCCAAGGGGCATGTGGGGGAGGTGAGACAAGAGCCAGTACTTAATTAAACCAGAGCTCCCCGTGGTAGTGTGAGGTGGGAGGCTTAGCACCCCCAAAACCAGACAACTGCTTGCAAGGTTGCTGTGCCACAGGTTGGGGCTTTCGGTCTGGGATGCAGATCTCCGTCATAGAGCATTGCTATCAATACTGTTACCCTGATGCCCCTTCTGGTCTTCTAGGGACACCCCTTCCCTAGGCTGGCCTGAGGTGTCAGATTCTGGCCAGGAGATGAGCCAACTTTTTCAGAGTGCTGCCTGGCTTTCGTGGTGCAGTTAGGCTGGGATGGGAGTGGGCATTGGCCCTCATACTGCCCTTGGCTTTTCTTGTCCCCAAGATGTGATGGTCTCCTTCCGAGCCTGTGGTTGTCATTGGCCACCAGCCAGAAGGGAGGAGAGGGCTGGGAGAGGGGGCTGGTTATAGCTTGCACCTGATGCATGGCCTAATCATAGCGAGAGGGAGCCGATTCATCCTGTCTAAGCCACCTGAGGGTTTCAGGGAACAGGGTGCTAGGGGAGGTGGAGGAAGGGTGATGTGGCCCGAGAAGCCTGGCCTCGGATGACCCTTCATGGGTCATTGGGTACAAGCTGCCCTGAGGAAACCCGTACTTGACCTCTCTGGGCCTGGGTCCCAATCCTTGCTTTTCCTTGCTTCCGGGCCTTAGTCTTGCTGTCGCATTCGGTATTTCTGTCAGTGCAGTGGGGGTAGAAGCCCGCTAGCTTTCTGTGGTCCCTGGGGACTCCCTCCCTGGACACTCACATCCTCCCATCTCCCCACCTGCTTGTCCCTGGGGCTGTGCTGCCCTCATATGCCTTGGAATAGCCAACTGCAGCTGAGGGCCCGGGATGCACACAGGCTCTCCTCCTGGACACTTGGGGACCTTCCTGCTGGTGCCACAGCACCATCTACTGGACAGCCTCGGCTCTCCTGCTGAGGGCCGGGCCCCTACAGAGCTACGCTGCCCACCACTTCTCCTGGGGGAGTAGCCCTACCCTACGGAACCAAGCCCAGTATCTGTGTTGCTTTGGGCCTAGGGACCTGGGTTCCAGGCTTGGCTCTGCCATTTTTGATGAGTTTGGCCAGTCAGAGAGTGAGCCCTAAAGAGTGTCTCAGGAAATACGAATCCATAGACAATGTCCAGTTCCACATCTTGGCTGCAGCGACTAGTCATCTTGAGAGCCCTATGGCATCTGGAATAAGAGCTGTAGTGGGGGGTAGGAAGCCTGTCTCTTGTCCCATCTCCTTTATCAGGGACTTTGGGATGAATGGGTCTCCTCATCTGTATATGGGGAACAGGGGTAGCCAAGCGAATGGATCTGCAGACTGTACCCTGAAAGTCTGAAACACCAGGAAAGGGGTCTTGGGAGTCATGTGGAGGGAAGCTGAACAGAAGGGGCTCCTGGAATGGGGGTGGGAGGTATATGGTGGCAGCCTCTGTGTTGTGTGACTCATGCATTCAGTCATTCATGGTCTCTATCAAGCATCTGCTAGGTGCCACGTTCTTAGGTGTGGCGGTGAGCCAGTGAGAGGAGCAGCCCTCGACTGCTTGCCTGCAGCCTGTTCTGACAGCCCCTCCCTTTCTCCTTCTCTCTCCCAGGCCAGCAGTTGAGTAGCTGGGGCCCCTGAGGGCTTGAAGCCTTCACAGTGATGGCGGAGAAGCGGCCACTGGGGACCCTGGGGCCTGTGATGTATGGCAAGCTGCCCCGCCTAGAGGCAGACTCCGGGCCCGGGCACAGCCTGCCCCCCTCTGCTGGTAACCAGGACCCCTGCAGCTACAAGGGTGCCTACTTCTCCTGCCCTATGGGGAGTGCTCCCAAGGCAGGGTCTGAGCGGTTGGCATCTTGGACCCCATATCCACCCTTGTACCCTACCAGCGTGGCAGGACCCCCTCTTCGGACGGACAGCCTGTTGACCAGCTGCCTGCTCCACCGCTCACCAGCAGAAAGCTCTGAGAAGGTGCAGGACCCTGGTCCTGTTGAGCTCCTGCCCCTCGGTCCCCAGTCTCATTCCTACCCAGGCCCACCGTTGGCGGCACCCAAACCTGTCTACCGGAACCCTCTGTGTTACGGGCTCTCGACTTGCCTGGGGGATGGGGCAGCGAAGAGGCCACTGGACGTTGATTGGACGATGATGACTGGACCCCTCTTACCCCCGGCTGACCCATCTTGTTCTCTGACCCCAACTCCTGGCAAGGGCCCATCCCTAGATGGCACCTTCTTGCGTGGGGTGCCAGCTGGCAAAAATTCAGTAAGCTTCTCCCCGTGCCAGGCATTTCTGGAGAAGTATCGGACCATCCACAGCACAGGCTTCCTGGCCTCCAAGTATGCAGGTCCTTACTCTGGGGATCCCAAGCAGGCATTGTCCGATGGACCCCCCAGCCCTTGGACCCAGCTGGCCCAACCCCTGGGGCCAGCCTGCCAGGATACAGTGCCTACCCACTACCCGCTCCCTCACCCTCCACAGGCTCTGCCTTGCCCAACAGCCTGTCGCCACCCAGAGAAGCAGGGCAGTTATAGCTCAGTGCTTCCGCTACAGCCTGTGGGAGCCCACAAGGGGGCTGGGTACCCAGCTGGTGGGCTGAGCAGCCCCTACCTGAGGCAGCAGGCCGCCCAGGCACCCTATATGCCCGCAGTGGGCCTGGATACTTTTTCCTACCCCTCTGCCCCACTCCCAGCACCCTCACCAGGCCTCAAGCTGGAGCCACCTCTTGCTCCCCGGTGCCCACTGGACTTCGCTGCCCCCCAGACACTGGGCTTTCCTTACGCCCGTGATGACCTCACTCTCTGTGGAGCATCCCCAGGGCTTGGAGGGACGCCACCTTCCCAAAACAATGTACAGGCTGTGCCGCAGCCCAGTGCCTTCCAGCGAGCATGCCAGCCCCTACCCGTCAGCCAGCCCTGCCCAGAGCCCGGGAGGCCTGCAGAGGAGAAGATGTGGCTGCCCAGCTGCAGGAAAGAGCAGCTCCGGCCCCAGCTCGGTGAGCACCCCGGAGCACCCATTGTCATTGGAGATAGCCCGGTTCCACGCACCCCTCCGGCGCTCCCGCCCTGCGCCCGGGAGCGCCAGTCTCTTGCGCCAAACGAGGGCGCGCTGCCACCCAGCTCTCCACCCATGCCGATTATCGACAATGTCTTCAGCCTGGCCCCCTACCGGGACTATCTGGACGTGCCGGCACCCAAGGACACAGCTGAGCCTGAGCCAGCCCCAGCCCCTGGTGAGAGCCCTGCCAAAGACTTGGGGGGGGGGCCTGCCTGCCCGGGATGCCCTTTCGAAGGCTCACTGCTCACTTAGAGAGGAGGTAGCCCTGGACTTAAGTGTGAAGAAGCCTGTGGCAGAGGCTCCCATCAGGGTTCCTAGTCCTGCGGTGCGTGCCAAGCCCACGGCAGCCCTGGATGCACCAGCTGTGGGGAACACAGTCTCGGATCTGCCAGACCTGGAAAAGATGGTCTCGGAGGCACCGGGCCTGCCTGGGGTACTGGCGACCACCGAGGCCGCCCCGCGGACCAACTTCCACAGCTCCGTGGCCTTCATGTTCCGAAAATTCAAGATCCTCCGGCCAGCACCCTTGGCTGCAGCCGCGGCCCCATCGGCGCCCACCCCTGCCCCTGCGTCTGCCCAGCCTGTACCAACCCCCACATCCGTGCCCCTTGGTCTCCAGATTCTCACACAGCCCTTGCCCGTGGCCTGCTTCAACCTGGCGCTGCCCAGCCCTCCAGCCGTAGCCATGGCCTCCCCCACCCTGGCCCCGGCCCCATCACCTGCCCCGGCCCAGGCTCCGGCTCCAGCTTCTACCCCCGCGGCAGCGGACTCTCCAGAGCAACACTTCACAGGACTGCACGCTTCCCTGTGCGATGCCATCTCGGGCTCAGTGGCACACTCCCCACCCGAGAAGCTGCGTGAGTGGCTCGAGACGGCCGGGCCTTGGGGCCAGGCGGCGTGGCAGGACTGCCAGGCTGTGCAGGGGCTGCTAGGCAAGCTGCTGTCGCAGCTGCAGAGCTTCGTGTGCACACAGCAGTGCCCCTTCCCCCATGTGGTGCGGGCCGGGGCCATCTTCGTGCCCATCCACCTGGTGAAGGAGCGGCTCTTCCCACGGCTGCCTCCCGCCTCCGTGGACCACGTGCTGCAGGAGCACCGCGTGGAGCTGCGGCCCACCACGCTGTCCGAGGAGCGGGCGCTGCGCGAGCGGGCCCTGCACGGCTGCACGTCACGCATGCTCAAGTTGCTGGCGCTGCGCCAGCTGCCCGACATCTACCCCGACCTGCTGGGCCTGCAGTGGCGTGACTGTGTCCGCCGCCAGCTGGGTGAGCATGGGGCAGCCCCAGTGGCCACCGGAGCTGTGTGAACGAGTGACAGGTGTGTGGGCTGTGTGAGTGGTCGCAGCCAGGGCTGACGGACGCTTGGGCCTCGGAAGGCACGGGAGGCCCAAGAACTCGTGCTGGGGAGGGTGCTGGCCATCCTGGGGAGGCCCTGTGGACCCCCCCCCCGGCATTCCTCCTCACCTGGGTACCACTGAGGGCCTTCACAGCGTCTGCTGCAAGCCTCTGAGCGGGCCCGCTGCTCTGTCCCTCTGGAAACTTCCTGACCTCCCCCGATGCCGCCGCTTCCCGGCTTCCCTCCTCCTCTGCTGTGCCTTCTCTGGCCTCGGTGCAGACTTCTCTGGGTTCTGTGGCTCTGACGAGGCCCTGTTCTCTATCTGAGGTCTCTTCCCCCTGTGTCTGTGTCCCACCCAGTGTCCCTTCTTCTGAGCTTGAGCCCCAAATTACTGAATGCATGCTGGCCCTTTGCACCTGGTATCTCTCTGACCCTTAACTCCTTCCAGACCCACACTCCTGAGATTTCCCCTAAGCCCTCTGCCCTCCCCCCACTGCCTTCTCCACCTCAGTCAATGGCACCTGATTCCCGAAAGCGGGGACTTCTCCCCCCAAACACGGCTGCCTTTTGAATGTGCAGTGTTTCGGTCCTCCCAGTATTTATATTCACGGAAGTGCACCCGTAAGTCGGAGCGATGTTTTGTCGTTTGCTTTTCTCCTACTAAATGACATCTTGTGCATATTGTTCTCCAGCTTGCTCTTTTTATGTTCTGGAGCATCATGTGCAGTGGTTCAGGTCGCTTGGCCCTGCTCTGGGCAGCTGCTGCGGGGTCACGTGCTGTGTGTACTCATTTCTTCAGCCAGGACTTTGGTGATGGTGCCAGGTGGTGCCCCTTGTGGCCTCTCCTACATCAGGACACCTGGCACATTGAGGCCTGAGGCCTGTGACCCGCTCTGTAGTCTTTCCTTGCTGCTCTGCCATCCTGCCACCAGGCTTCTGTCTGGGCTGTGTCTCCACAGGAACACTTTAGTTTCTCGTCATCCTGGCAGCCTTGCCCTGGGCTCTTACCTCGTCCTGGCTCCATGTCAGGGTGGGGAGCACACCCGAGGCAGTGAGGCACAGATGGGGAGCTTGGTGTCTGGGTGATAAGCAATGCTGACCCCAGAGCACTTAAGAGGTTGGAGCGTTTGCCCTAATGGGTGCTAAGAAAACACAAGTGGGAGTGTTGTTGAGCAGGGGTGGGGGGTGTGTATCATGCATGGCTCAGAGGCTCCAGCCCTGTCTTCTCCCTGGACAGTTGGGCTGTGGGGCCCAGAGAGGACAGGGCCGTATTTCCCGGGCTGCCGGCTGGGTGCTGGGGCCCGGGTGCCCCACAGTCCCCTCCTGCCCTGAGCCTGCAAGGGTCTGGGGCCTAGTGCAGAACTGATTGGGACCCAGCTCCTTCCTGCTGCAGGCTGGATTTGGCACCCCAGTCCCCACTCCCTGAGCTGTGAGTCCTCCCCTGACCCTGGGGGGGGGGTCCACCCTTCCATGGGTGTCCGTGTTCTCCCTGACAGCCTCCCTTGCCAGTAGGTGTGCTCTTGGTCAGAAGCCCCCTCCTGCTGCCTCTGCTGCTTCCTCCACTCCTGGGCTCTGGGGTGGTCTGGTAGAAGGATGCTACACTTACGTGTAGCAGGGCTCTCTCTCTCTCCATGCCTCAGTTTCCCTGCTTATACAGCCAGTGGTTCCTGGCCTGTTGGCCCCTTTCCTTTTGTTCTTGCACCAGACACTTCGCCTGAGCGGTACCGTCATCTAATAGAGCTCTGGCATCACCTGGGGAGAAGCATACTCTTCGGCTTGATGGTCTGGCCTCTAGCACACATGGGGAAAGGTCATAATGGCCGTGACCTTGCCGGGGCCTTCCAGGCCTGAGGCAGAGCGGAACCACTGGTCTAGGTGGCTTTGGAGGCCAGGAAATGGGGCCTGAGGGTGCTGGGGTCTGCGGCCTGACTGTGTGTTCATTTTCCAGGTGACTTTGACACTGAGGCTGGATCTGTGCCCTCCTCAGAACCCACCATGGCCAGAGATGAGCCGGAGAGCCTAGCCCTGGCTTGGAAGTCACCTGTCCCCAAGGCCAGGAAGCCAGGGAGGAAGCCACCAACCCCTGGCCCAGAGAAAGGGGCAGCTGCTGGGGAAGGGTCCCACGGTACCTCCCCTGCCCCTGCCGCCAGCACCAGCCCCCCTGGCCCCACGCTAAGGGCCCGCTTCCGCAGCCTGCTGGAAACTGCCTGGCTCAGTGGCCTGGCACTACCTACTTGGGGCCACAAGGCCTGAGGGCTGGAGCGGCCCGTGCCTCACCCACAGGTGCTGGGTGGCCAGAGCCATCGCTGTAGCACTGGTGGCTGTTTGGGGGTCACTGAACCCTTACCTTTTGTAAGGCCAGCTGCCCAGGGCTAGGAGTGGACATGCCCTTGGGGCTTCTGCTCTTGCTCCCCCCCCCCCCCCGCTACCCCTGCTGGGCTGAGAGCCTCCAAACTTTTAACTTGTGGAGCTTTATTATTAGAAAGGACTACTTCCTGTTTCTTCTTTAGAGAAAACGTGTGGGCTTTGGAGCTCAACAGACTTGGGCTTGAATTCTAGCTCCTGTGTTCCTTGCTGTGTAACCAGGCAAGTCACTTCCTTCCTTGAGCCCTCAGTTCCCCGTTTGTAAGATAGGACAACGCAGCCTACCTCACAGGGTTGTTGTGGGGGTGATGTCTGACACACACCCATTAAGGTTTGCTCTCTGCTTCCTCCCCAGGACAGGGGCCTAGCTCCCAGCCAGAGCCTGGAATAGGAGGCTAAGGCAAGCAGAACCTTCTAGAAAGTCTTCGTGTGTCATAGGATTTGGTTATTTTAGGGTGGTACGGTGTACAGTGTGTATGACTTACACTTTTCTAGAGTCATTTCCCAGGAAAGCCTGGGGCTATGCCCCAGTGTCTGGGGTTGGGCCCTGACCCCCAGCCTGGAGCTCCCTGGGGGAGCCTGCCCCTTCTCTCCTTCACTACAGGGGGTGCCTGGATACAGCCTGGGGCTGACATTCTTGTTCTGGGCCTGCTGCCCTCAACTCTGGGAGGCCCCAGGCCTGTCCTGAATTGACACCAGTGACTTCCCTGAGCTGCCGCCTCCACCCGGTGTTATCTTCCCGAGAAAGTTCGCTAGAAGCCGAGCAGCTACAGGGACTCAGGGACTAGACAAGACAGGCTGAATGACAGCTTAATCCTGGGAGGTCTCCGAAGATGTAGACTAGGGACCCTGGCACTCCCTAAGCCAGAGCCCCTGTCAGGCCTGCTATGAGTTACCTCCTTGCAGCGTGCTAAACTGAGCCAGAGGCTGGTGAGCTGGGCCCTTGACCTAGCTAAGGTTTGTAAGAAGGCTGTGGGCCCTGGAGGCAGGCCATTAAACATTAAAGCATTTGGGTTGTTTTTGGACCTGAAGCCTGGCTATGTTTTTTTTTGGGGGGGGGGGTCACAGGTTTAATAGGCCATCATGTAGTCCTTAGCAGTTCTCCCTGTTCCCAGCCCAGAAGGTGCCGAGGCTCTCTGGCCCCATTGTGCTGGCTAGCTCTGGCCACGTGGGTCCTGGTCACCTGTCCACTGGGCAGCCATTGCTGTGCTCAAGGAAAGTCCTTTCCCTCCCGAGACCCTTGTGGGTCCTGGTGGTTGTTGGGTCTGTAGTGCACTGCCCCAGTGAGAAATGCTGGTCACCAACCCTAGCACTTGCCCATCTCCCAGCACCAAGGACATGCCCACCAACGTGTACCTAGAACAGTGCTGTCACCCTGTTCCTATGCTGGTGACTCCATCCCACGGAGGGACAGCTCCTCACCCCTTAGCTGGTATGGGGAGACACAGCACACCCTCCAGAGACCCTGCCTCTGCTGGGCTCTTCTTGCAAGAGGTTTGTTCTCAGGGCTGCTGAGGTGGCTTCCTGGTTTCCCACTCCCATCCAGACAGAGGGCCAGTCCACTAGGACTGGTCAGACCTGCTGGTGTCAACCCTAGTCATTATGAGCCTTTTCTGAGTCCAGCTACAGTATCCCTCCTGGGCCTGCCAACAGCTGGAGCCTGGCTTTGCACTAGGCCCGGATGTGGAACGGCAGCCGCCATTGCTCCTGCTGCCGCCTCTCCAGGCCTGAGGAGTTCCCCGGCAACTCCGACATGTGGTCACCACAGTGACAGAACCCGGGGAAGTGTGCTGTGGAAGCTCGGGAGGGGCCAGTCCTAGCTTGGGGACAAGGAGGCGTCCTTGGATCCCAGAAGAGCTGCTGCTGGAAGTGGGCCTTGGAGGCGGGGAGGAAGAAGGTAGGCAAGGGTGAAGTGCACCCGGAGTACGGTGAACGGCATGTGAGGAGGCCTAGAGGAGTATCTGGAGAAGGAAAATACTCAGGTGCGGCTGGACTGCCAGGAAACGGGTGGGAATGCGGCAGGCTTCTAGCACACCAGCCTGGAGGATAGGGGCTGTGGTGCACGTGTTTCCCAGACAGCGGAAGTGCAGCCAGTCTGCTTCACTTGAGGCTACCTGAGTGGGGGGCATAGATGGGGGACAACATGGGTGGAGTCGCTGAACCCCCAGGCCCTCTGCCACCCCGTTGACTTCATCCACCTCATTGCCAGAACCTTCAGGATTTGGCTTTGTTTCTTCTTTTTTTTTTCTCTTCCTTTCCTTCCCTCCCTCCTTCCCTCCCTGCCATCTTCCTACACTTCATTGCCACTTCTCACCAGCAGTCCCGGGTGGGCTCTGAGGCCTTGGCATAGGCAGAGCTGGCCAGCACCCAGGGGCATCTGTCTGTCCGCTCTGGCCCTAGAGGGCCTCCATGGTGCAGAGGCTGGGTTTCACTGGCCTGGACCTGGATCTTGCAGGGGGAGGTGGCTGCTCCCAGGGGACAACTCTGGCCTGGGAGCCCTCGTTGGGTGGGGCAGGGATGGAACTAACTAGGACTCCCGTCGGAGGGAGGCTGTGCTGTTGCCCCTCACAGGGGTTTTCACAAGGCCTGTTCCATGCTTCATTCAGGGTGTTGAGAGCTGAGGGTGTCGGTGGCCCCCGCCTTTCAGGGAAGCCAGAGCAGGCTCACTCTGCCTTGACTGAATGTGGCTCTTCAGGCCCCCACAGTCCCCCTGTAACCATCCAAGTCTTCTGGGCTGGGCTGAGTTCAGGTAACTTCTCACACAGAATCATCTGGAAAATGTTTGCCCAGGCCCCACCAAGAATGGCCCTTGGCGGAGCCCAGAAAGCTGGGTTTGAATCCAGCTCCCACGGTGATTCTGGGTCAGGTGTTCAGGGATCCTTTTGAGTAATACAGACAACTCCCTTCCCGTTACAGATGGGGAAATGGGTCCCAACACTTGCTGCTGGTCACATCGTTAGGGGCTGTGTCAAGACGCGGATCCAGTCCTGGGGGTTGTGGGCCAGCCGGGAGGCCAGGAACCTTCCGTACCTGCCTCTGCTTCACCACAATGGCTGAGTCCAGACCTGCTTGCCAGGCTTCTCTCCACCTCAGGTGGCCTCACTAGGCGACATGAGAGTCTCTGGCCTAAGTTGATAAAAGGAGGATGGCGCTCAGGTGAGCCTGTGGCCTGAATGAGGCCCTGCCCCCTGAATGCCCTACTTGGCTCTCTGACCCAGTACAAAAGGCAGAGGAGTCCAACCCACTAGCTTTGCCACCAGGAGTTAAGCCTCAGGCCTTCAAGGTAAGTGATGGGGCAGCTTTGTCCCTTGAACCTGTGTCACAGGGGGAGGAAGAGCACAGGGCTCTGCCTGATGAGGGGATTATGAAGACCCCCTTGGTAACTTCCAGGTGCTTCCTGCCCTGCCTCGTTCTCACTAAGGGGGTTGGGGTGAATGGGCTGGGTCTCCCGAAACCCCCCCAGAGGAAATGGAGCAGGGCCCAACCCACCTGTCTGAACGTGCCTCTTTGGACCCCACGGTCATGTCTCCAGCCCCTGGGCCACCCCCCAGCCCAGCCTACTGCTCCTTCCTCCCCAGCCCCAGCTGAGAAGGGCCACAGGGACACCCCCGTCGGGGGGCGCGGAGCCCTACTGCTGGCTCCTGTCCTGTGTGCTCTCCAGACCCCTTTCCTGGGTACCTCTCCCAGCCCAGCCTAGGGCAGCCCCTCCAGGCCCCAGGGCAGGGGTGGGTGTTGCAGACCCCCTCCTGTCCTGCCTCTAGCTGGACAGAAGCCCCTGGACTGGACTGAGGCTGGCAGGCAGGTGGGCTCTAGATACACTGTTGCTTCTGTGGGGCTCCTGAGCCTGGGTGCCCTAGCGGCTACCCCCTCGGAGGCTGCTACACCAGTGCCGCTATCCACCCCACCCCCAGCCTCAGCCGGCCGGTCCCTGTGCCTCCAGCACCTCTGCCTCGGTCTTGGAGGGGCCCAACCCCCAGGCCTCTGTGTCTTCTTGGGGCCCTGAGAGCCTGGGCTCCTGGGAAGAGGGTGCCGAGCCCCTGAGTCCCTTGAAAGAACCTCAAGCGGCCCCTCCTGCGATTACTAGCCCCGCCAGGGGGTCCCTTGCTTCTTTTCTCTGCTAGCCACCAGATAAAATCATCCACAGACCGCTTCTCAGATGGTGGGGATGGGGACAGCAGGCTCCTCTCCTACCTATAGTTGAGAGCCTGGGACTCCAAGCTGGGCGGCTGCTTCTCAAACCCTATAAACCTCTCAGACCCGAGCACCCTGTCAGCAGAATGGGAGCCCTGGCCTGGGGCCCCTGGGCACAGACGCTAGGGGCTTCTGTCAGCCTCCGCCCTTCCTCCTGAAGCATCCTTACGCCTGGGCTCCCGTCCAGCGTGAGTGGGCAAGAGATCTCTGGAGAAAGCCCCTACTCAAAGAGGCCTGGGTCCCCAACAGACCTGGGCCCTGCCTGCCTTTCTGTGAGGCTTCGCACTCGCTGGTGTGGGAGAGCCAGGGTCGCCCTGTCCAGCCTTCACTGCCACCCCTTAGCTTGCCACCTGCTGGCGCTGAGGACACACCAGCTCTCCCCAGCGCTGTCCGCTACCACCCTGGCATCACCACGTCAACAACGGCAAGGGTCCCCAGCCACTAAAGGACTGGTCCTCACCAGATCTGCCTGGTGCTTCCCTAACTCTGCCTTGCAGCTCAGCGGGTGTCCCAGGCCCGCAGCTTCTGGTAGCCCAGTCCTTTCCAGTTGTTGCCAGCTTGGAGCTGCCTTCTGGACCCGTGAGTGCTGTTCCATCTGGAGTTAGCTTAGACCCTTCTGGTCTTGCCGCCTCTGATCCCAAGCGCCTGGTCTGCCGGGACTGGTGAGGAGGCCTCTCCCAGCTCAGCCAATGCCATGCTGTGTACACCAGGCAGCAGGTAGCCCCGTTCCCTTGGGGACCCCAGACCCCTGCTGTGTGGGGCCTAAACCTCCAGCTGGGCCCACCCCTGCAGAGGAGGTGCTGAGGCTTCTGCAACACTTCCTCTCATGCTGGACTCCCTCCCACGGACCTCTCTAGATCCTGGTGCCATGGACCTGACACAGCCCAGGCCACCTTCCTCCTCACCATCAGGGGCTCTGTGTCCATCAAGGCCCCTGACTGCTGAGGGACCCACATGAAGGCTTCAGACCAGCCCAGACGCACAACCCCCTTTCTGACTGCTGGTCCTTCCACAGCCTGGACATTTGAGCCTCTGGGCAGAGGTTTAATGACTCCTGGGATGTTCCTGTCAAGCAGAAAAGCTACTTGGCACCAGGCCCTGGCTCTCTGGGCTGAGCTGGGCAGTGGGAGCGTCTCCGAGGCCACCTGGTCAGAGGGGCTCAGCCCTGAGCAACCAGTACTCAACAATTCCTGCCATGTTCCTATCAGATATCCCACCTCAGGGACCCAGCTCTCTTACCTTGGCTGCTGGGTCCCCATCCCAACTCACCCAGTGGTCATGGAGAGACCACCCCAGGAAGCCACAGCCAACTGGGAGGAGTGCCCAGTGTTTGCATCCCCTTTTTATGGTGTCCACTTGGGCAGAAGGCGCTTTGGGTTCTGTGGGGAGACTATAGCTCCTCCTTTGCCAACCCCTGGGTGGGTGGGCTCCCAGCTCAGTAGGCTGCCCCAGAGGATGGGACTGTCCCCCGTCACTAGAGGCAGATCTGAGTCATCCAGGCCCAGCCCTCCCCTCAAGCAGAGCCCTTCTGTTTGTTTTTCCAGCTGGTCAGCAGACCCAAAGTCCCAGTGATGTCTGGGCGGCCTGTGTCCCCTCCCACTGTGTCCTGAGAGGGGTCTGGCTCCAGTTGTGGCCTAGAATTGGGATACCTTTGAGTTGGAGGCCACATCTAGCAGGTCCCAGGACAGCCTGCCATGGCCAGGGCAGTTACCATGTGAAGGCCCGGGCTTGTCCATGTCATGCACATCACCTGTGCACCACTGCTGATGAAGCCAGACTCTGTCGGCGTCCACCAGCTCAGCTGGGAAGTCACACTGACAGGAGGATAGTACTG